AAGTTTACTTAGGTTAAACATTATAAAAGTTCCTATTCTTTTCTAGTTAGCTTAATTTCCTTAAGTTTACTTAGGTTAAACATTATAAAAGTTCCCATTCTTTTCTTACTTCTATTCTTTCTGTTATTCTTAATTACAATTATTAATCTTAATAGCTTTTTAAGTATAGTTAGTAAAGGTTATTTTTTTATAATTAATTTTAAAAAGTTTATCCTTAACTTTAGGTTTTACGCTATTATAGTAAACTTTTTTTTTTATTTCCTTAGTTTAATTAACTTTAGTTAATAAGTATAGGAAAGTTAAAAGTATATTTACTTAATAGTTTTTTTTAGGTAATAAAACGAAGTTCTTACTTAGCCTTTTATTATTTATTTATAATACTAAAAGACTTTTTAAATTATTCCTAAAATTCTATATACTTAGTATAAATTTCTTTAGTTTACGTTTTAAGCTTTTTTAAGTTAATTTTTCCTTTTTTATAGTTTTATATAATAAGTTAGAATTATATTTTAATGTCTTTTATAAAGCAGCTGCCTACGAAGATAACTTTATCTTCGTTATTCTTTAAAGTATAAGGGAAGTATTTAAAATAGGTTGTAAATTTTAAAAAGAATTTATCTATCTTATATAAATCTTCGTTAAAAGGTTTAAGCTTTATTAGTTTAATAACCTTACCTTTTTCTTTTTTTTTATCTTAAAGGTCCTAAAGTTAAGTCTTAAAAGCTTTAAACTTAGCCTTTAGTTTATTATATTTAGCTTAATTAACTATATTTTCAGCTAGTGTATTTTTAAATTTAATATTACTATTATAGTTACTTTAAGCTTTGCTTTTGTAATTAGTATTATTATTTAAAACTCTAAAGCTTATAAGCTGCTGAATTCTTAGTGTTTTATTACCTATAGGTCTAAGGTAACTGTTTAAATAAAAGTTATTATCATATAATAAACCAGGTTCTATAGGTATTATAGGTTAGCTGTTCCTAAGGGATAAACCTTAAAGTAGTTTTATAGTTTATGTTAGCAAAGTAATTAAGTTAGTAAATAAGTAATCTTATTACTAGCTAGTAATATAAATAAAAGTAAATATCTAAGTTCTAATCTAATTATATTATAAATGCTATAATAATAACTAGCTATTTAAGTATTTTAATAAGTAATATAAAGTAAACTTATATACTTAGTTAGTTAAGCTAGATTATTGCTAAGTAGTAATAATCCTATTATAGATTATCTTAGGGTTTTAATAATCCGTTTATAGATCGTTAGATTATTAAATAATTTAATAATCTGTTCCTAATTAGTTAGTCGGTCCGACGTTTATCTAAGACCGGCTACCCTGTAGGCCTATTGTTGCAACCATAAGAGTCAGGTCGTAACAACTATAGAACTACTCTAAGGTTTATCCCTTGGAAATAGCTAACCTATAGTACCTATAGGACCCAGTTCGTCACAACTTCTTTATATTTATCCTAAGTTATATTAATATTTCCTAAGGTAGTAATAGCCACAGGTATATTATTAATAGCCTAGTTAATTATTTATTAACTAACTTTTTTAAAAGTTATAGTATTAATTATAATATATTTTAGCTGCTTTTTCTTAGGTACTTTAGGATACTAGTTTAATATTTCCTTTCTTTCTTTATATATAAGGTATTACTTATTATAATACCTAGTTTAGTTAAGTAGGTTATAGGGTACTATTTTAATAATATTAACTTAGACTTTATTAACCTTTTTATTATTATTAGACTTCTTAGAATTATTAGGTCTTTTATACTTCTTTTAGTAGTCCTTTTTTTTATAACCTATTTTACTATAGTAGTTACATTTACCTATAAACTTATAAGTATTAATAATATTTAGATTTATAGGTCCTGGTTTTTTATTATTATATAAAGCTATATTACGCTTCCTTCCTTAGTTAGTATATTATTAAGAGTTTTATTTAGGTTATTAAAAATTCTTATATTTTTCTTTTTTCTTTTCTTACTCTCTTTCCTAAAGGTAATTATTAATACTAATTACTATTTAAGTATAGTTAATAAAGTTAACTATTTTTTTATTAACTTTATATAATTTATCCTTAACTAAGGGTTTAAAGCTTATATAATATACTTCTTTTTTACTATTCTTAATTTAATTAACCTTAGTAAGGAATTATATAAATATAGTTATATACTTAAAGTATTATCTTTTTTATTTAATAAATTAAAGTTTTTATTTTACTTCCTATTCCTTATTTAAGGTTTTAAACAATTTCTTAAGTTAATTACGGAAGTATTAGTAAAATATAAAAACTTCTTAGGTTTAAGTCTTCTATTTATTTAAAATATTTTTCTTAAAGTCTTATATAATAAGTTATAACTATTCTTTAGTTACTTTAGTAAAATAGGTAATTATAAAAATTATTTTATTTTTATTATTTTCTAAGGTATTTAAAAAGTATTTAAAGTAAATATTAAGTTTAGTAAAATACTTTTTTATATTCTTAGGTTCTTTATTATAAGGATTAGGATACTTAGGTTAAAGGATTTTTCCTTTTTCTTTTTTTTTAGCCTTAAGTTTAGTAATTTCTTCTTTAAAAGCTAGGATTTTAACTTACTATTACTCCTAAGAAAGTTATAGTTAAGGTTAGGGGTCTTTGCTAATTATTTTAACTTTAGATATTTTTTTAAGTTTTATATTGCTATTTTTGTAACTTAGTATAACGCTTTTTTAATCTATTTTAACGTCTAGGACTTAGAATTTAACTATTTAATATTTTTATAATAAATATTACCTATAGTTTAAGGTAACCTTTAAATAAAAGTTATAAATATATAATAGGCTAAGCTCCTATAAAGTTAATATAAAAGGGATTTCTAAGGGATAAACCTTATATTAGGTTTATATTAGTAAATAAACTAAGCTAAACTAAAGCGTAATTAATAAAAATAAAAAGGTTTATTTATATAATTAATAAATAATACTTTATAAATATAATTAAGTATTATTTTATATTTATAATTAGCTATTTAAATTATTTTAATAAGTATTATAAAATAAATATATAGTTTAGTATTTACTTATATTTACTTTAATAAAAGTAAATATCTTCTTATTTAGGTAACTATTTACTAGTGTTTACTTTCCGAAAAGTAAATACGTTCTTAATTAGTTATGTAGGCTAATGTTTACCCGTGGTGCCTACCCTATAGGCTGACTAGATATTAGGTCATAATAAAACAACTGATTAACCTCTTCTAACTTTTCGCAATCGCATACACGCTAATAAATCAATTAGTTGGCAATGTATTTCGTCCAGATTCGGTAGTATCTAAATAGACCCTCTTACCTTACATAAGCTTATCCTTTGTTAAGTTTACGCTAAAAGTTACAGCTGCCTAATAATATGTAGGCAGTCGTAAATCCGTACCTCTTGTATATGCCTTGTTTAAGAAGATAAGGTATTAGTCTATTTAAGTGGCAAATGGTGATATCTAAAGAGGCTTAGTCTTGCCTAATTTATCCAATACCGTTAGCTCCTCGGCATTACCGAAGAAAATAATAGCTTAAATATTTTCATTATCTTTGTAAAACTGGAGCCACGTCTCGGCAAATCGGAGGTTGTTAAGGTCAATGATCTGTGCGCCTACATCTACGATGACACAGGTATTCAAGCTTATCTGCGATACTATTATAAGGAGCGATTTGCTGTTTAACGTAGCTCCTATTATCTCCTCTGGCCTTAACATAATGCTATTTTCAGGACGAAGTAGATATTTAAGCATTAACGCATTAGTGTAATTCTGCTCTGGTAAGTTCAACTGTTTAATATCTATTGGTAGCACATACCTAGTATTATTAGTCCCGCTAAAGCTAGTTGTAGGATTCGCCTTTTTTTTACCTAGATCCTAACCTGAAGCTGAGAGCTTATGGGGGAACTCCCTGGATTCCTTTACAAATATTAAGCAGGAAAGAAAGTAGTCAATAGCGCCTTTGGAAAAGCGAAGTTTTAGGAAGATATCGTTAATGCACTATACGCAATTACGAATATTAATACCCGTAAGCCGTTTAAACGGAAGTGTTAACTCCAGCGCCGTTTCTACCCAAGCCTAATATTTAAGGTCGGTATTATCTAACCTAATAAGAAGACCAAGCGCCTTAAAAAGCTCTTTATCCTAGAGACCTTTGTAATAGTAGCTTAGATATGTGAGTATAATAACTATATTTAGATGACTGAATTCCGACCGTGGTGAGGGGCTGTCTTTAGCTCGAAACGGCACAGTAAGTCGGGTTTTGGTTTCGCGATTAGGATCTGTGCTATAGTCGACTCTCCAACGTTTTTGCCCGAATGCAAAAGCGAGGATGCCACTTAATAAGAGACCTCTAAGAAGTAGAATATTATTAACAGTGGCTTTGCTCTAAAACGGGGCCTCTTCAACAGCGCTGATCTCCTCAGCTGTGAGGTCGGGGGAGGTGATGTATCGACGGAGAGCATCCTTCATCTGTGTACGCTGTAGCGCGACCGGAAATCCGGCCATCATCCGTGTAAGTGAACCTTGCTAGCTGCAAGGATTCAATTCTTTTGCGCTGCACAACTTGCTTGGCTCCCTAAGGTGGTAAGGAACTTGCCCACTGTTACGACTGGACTATTGCTTTGATAATATGCCGTAGTAACCTGGTCTGTATATTCGTTTCCACTCCTAAAGCTATCGCTTGTTTATTGGCCTCCGTGTAGAATATGATGCTGGGTCTATTAGATAGGACACTACAGGCTGAGCATAAATAATTGGATACCTCCTCCTGCTGCCATGGCCCCCTTTTTGGAGGGTTTCAGCATTTTCCTCACCTTTGAATTCCTCGTTTGGTCGGCATACTCTGCCACTTGCTATCCCTTGGGATAAATTCGCTTTTTATAAAAAAAAAAAAGGAAAAAGTGGAAAGCCGACTTTAAGATGTATACTGCTGGCTTCCTCGTTGTTGCCAGCCTCCTGGCTGGATCTGCTAATGCTTACCCCGAGTTTAACGAGAGGAGAGATTGCTCTTACAATGACTGTCTCCGTGCTGTGAGTCAAAGACGGCTTCTTAAGATATCGCAGGAAGAGTATGTGGAGCATCCGACGCTAACGAGATATTCTAGGTCATCGCCAGCGCAATCCCTGGGGGTAATGCTCGAGGATCGGCTGACTGCTCCTCCTACTTCCGCAAGACCGTCACGCCCTCTGCAACGTGAGTATAGTGCCTTATCCCTACCTCGATGAGAGAAAAGCACGGGGCCTAACAAGAAGACGTTCACCAGCACCGCGACCATTACGCTCACTAGTACCTTGACTGGGGACCCAGTCTACAGCACCGCCACCGATGTCAGTGTTGTGCCCGTGACTGTAACAACAAGCGTGTGCACAGCAGTAGTCAGCGTCGTCCCTCGCGCGAACGAGCGAGAGGTTACCGCCGAAGAGCTCAATGCTGCGCCGGTTCACCACGAGGCTCACCAGGCCCGTCGTGTCCGTGCCTGCCCGGCTAAACCTTCGGCCTCCTCCTCGACCAGCACATCTTCCACTGCTGCTGCTACTACCACAACCACCACCACAACCTCCAAGGCCACTACCACAGCTACCCCTGTCTCAGGAATTCCCACATACGCCTCGGCTTGCGGTGGCATTTCTGCATACTCGTCCGCGTGCTCCTGCGATGGAATTCCCGAGTCTACAATTACCCTTCCCCAGGTCACCAACACGGTCACCTCGTGGGCCAGCGAGACCGTCATTCCGACGTCAGCCACGACCGTCGACATCGTGTCCAGCTCAACTACCACTGTAACTATCGCCGCGCATCCGACTATCCTCGGCCCAGCGTTCTATGTCCAGGATTCAGCGAATGGAAGAACTTGGGCTGCGGGTGGCGCCGGCCTCCAGATCGTTGACTCGACTAGTAGCCATGCACCCCTCACTATCAATGGATGTGGTAGGGTGGCTTCAAGCGTTCTCACAAACAACTTTCTCGTTTCAGCTGAAACTGGCAACGGTGACGCAATTTCCTTCGTATCGAACCCATCCAGCAGTTTCCTTCACTGCACTGTCCAGAACCCGTCCGTCCCCTCTGGTTCGTTCACTTGCCAAAGCGAGAATGGTGTCGATACCGTCCTCAACTGGTGCCCCGGTGGGAACGACGTTATTCAACTCAGCTCGGCTCCCATGGCCGGCTGCTTGCAGCCCGCTTTTACTGTCGTTCACACCTAAGCGTGCCGATCGGCAGGTTATCGGCAGTTTGGGAAAACGCAATTTTTTATATAGAATCACACAGCCTGCATAATATACATAGAAGGGCAATATACATACCTAATTGCATTTGTGTTGCCCTCACCGCTACGCCAAGTCTCCAGTACGTGAACACCGACAATGAAGGATTCCAGTGAAGTGATGGTCCGAGTGGGAGAGATTTCGGATTTCAGTTTTCATGGCCACACTTCCTCTGCAGCCTCTACCCCGTCGCCTTGACATGACTCTCCGCTCTGCGCATTCATCTCCAATCCACGGCCTCGACATCGATTTTGTCCAGATCCCACAGCGCCCAGGTGCCAGGATCCCGTGAGGATCGAGGATCGAGTGTATCTTTCAACTTATGGCCGGGCTTCGTGAGTGCAGTGTCGTGCCATTTATACATGGGTCTCGCCTGATCTCTGGGAACATGTACCAGATGCGTCCTGACATAGCTGAACTTCCTCCGCCTCGCCCAGGCTGGACAAAGATAACGCTGCCGCTAATTACTATGGAGATCACGCAGGCCCAGCGAAAACTCTGGCTCCTGTCTCTTTCGTCTAAACCTACCTCAACTAAGCAGGCCATCCACACCAAGACTCTGCGAGACCTCCGCCACCGTGTTGAGTCCGTTGGCCGGATCTGCAGCTCGTACGTTCCCATTCAAACTCTCACCCAATACGCATCCTCTTACATGCTCCATAAGATGGAGCTCAATACCCGCCAGCAGCTCGCTTTCACTAACGCCAGCTGTGACAAGTTGAGCATGAACTTGGCTATCGAGGAGGACCTGGTGGCGGCGTGTGAGTGCCTCGAGATCAACGTTGAAGGCTAGTCTAATGAACTGTTTCGCCAGTTCCCCTAGAGCATGAGCGCCAACCCACAGTTCTACATGTTGCTCTACATCATGTGGCACCTGTGCGTGCGGCCTGAAGGCCCAAGCGTGGATAGAGCTTGGAGAGCTGCCAATGCAAGCTTGGAGCTGGAGATGCAGAGGCAGTGCAACAATGGCACGGCGCTGAAGCTGAAGCTGATTGTAGCACAGAAGCTGAAGAAGAGGGCAGAACTGATTCGGGGTGCGCTGGCCAGCAGCCGAGCAGCAGAAGGAGGAGGAGGGGACACTGCAGGTGCCAAGGATATGCGCTCCAGCCAGCCAGTAAGCCAAAGGGACGCCGGAGTTGACAACTTAGACTGGAATAATATGCAGCTTCCGCCTGAATTCTTAGATTGGAATACCTTGGTGGAGGACTTGTGTATAGCTAATGATAATTATATAATGTATAATATTACTTACAGTAGAAGGAAATGAAGCTACCTTATAATACCTTATAAAAAGAAAAGACACTTTGTGGTATTCCCGTTTTCACAACTGTTAGGACCCAAAAGATTGACTATTTGCTGTTAAGAAGTTTATCAGAAGCTTTGACAGCCTCCTCTCGATGTATAAGTCAACAAGGAAGACATGTCGGACGGGTTTGTCTTGGATTTATTCATAGCCCATATAATTGACGTTCAAGAAGTCGCAAGGACATGGGGCGTCTTCCACCCCAAGGGTGACAGGAATGTACTGGGAGTCGCCTGTAGGGTTACCCCAAGTTATGCGATACAGACTTAGTGCATCATACCACCCTAATCCTGACGGCTTTGTAGGTGGACATGGTCCATCACCACTCTCGCACTCCTCGAGGTCAAACTGATAGTCTGGCGAGGTTTCCCAAGCTTGATAGAATGGCTGCCTGACATAGAAACCTATCTGGTCGCGAAGCTGGCAAGTGAGTGTTTTGTGGCAGATATCTGAGGCATCGATGACGCATTTGGCAACATCGACATGTTGCCAATACGAAGCAAAATATTGTGGAAGTCCCATCAAAGGAGCCCTTTGTATATACGGAGCGTTCTGATCTACGTCCAGCATAACATATGGGCTTCGACCACCGCCAGCCGGCACAACAAGATGTCCGTTCGCATCAAGATAGAACGTCTCAGTATACACACCCGGTTCCCAACTGCTGGCTTCGGTGCCAGCGCGATTGATGCCTGCATAGTTATGGGATCCTTGGAGATTGATACCAAGGTATGATCCTTCCAGCCATGATCCGCCTTGTACCGCAAGTCTGAAGCAACTGGCACCTGCTGGAGATACTGGACAGGAGGTAGCTGTAGCAGCTGCAGAAGTAGTTGTAGTCGTGAAGCCCGTGAATTCGTAGAAAGTGAAAGTGGTCGTTGTGGTGACAAGCGGCCCGTTTGCGTTGAACACCTGAGTAGCTGTGCTGGTGGTAACTCCCGATGTTACTGTGACAGTATTGGTCTGGGAGATGTAGTTTGTACCCGTTGCGATTTGGCTACAAGCATAGCTGATCTTATCAATCGGCCACCCTGCCATTCCGGTAGGCACGGCGATCGCTCGTCGATCAAAAGCTCCCCTTGGCGCGGGTGTCCGCACCACATCTCGCCTATATACTGGAGCATAGCTTCCACCCATTGTAACGGTTGATGTCTGATACACAGTTGATGTGGTAGCAGGAGCTGTGAGCGTCATATCGTACGAACTACTGGTGGAACTAGTGACTGTGAAGGTCGTAGTGATTGTACTTGTAACACTTGTTGAAACAACTATAGTGCTGGGCACAGTCTTGACCTGGGTCAATGTAGTGCGCTTTGTAGGTGGATTGTAGCTGATTAATGATGTGCAAAAGTCTCCGGCGCCTGGTGCCAAAGAAGCAATTTCATCGGGAGCTGGCCAAACGCTAGGAACATTGAAACATTGATTTCGGCGGCCATTCTCACCGCTCGACAACACGATAGGTAGCGACGATCCGTCGTTGATGTTAATCCAGTTATCATTGCTCACGTACGTACTCACAGAGAGCGAATTAGCCGGACAACCATTGCTGGCCACAAAGTTGTATTGCGAGGACATGCCCACGGAGTTCGAAGAGAACATCCTTGGGTTGAAGACCATATTCCCTTGAACAACGACTTTAAGGTCAACAATCCACTGGCTGAAGCTATTGATGCTTACTTTTGCCCCCGTATTGAATTGTGGTAGAATCCAGTTGACCTTGGGCGTCCAGTTTCTCTTAGAGTCAGATGCGTGGTTGAGGATATTCATGTTGATAGATGCATCGTCCCAACTGTACCCTGCTCCACCTGTCACGTCAACAGCGGAGTCGGTCGAGAACTGGTATCCTATCCTGTAAAATACTTGCGGTCTATTTAGGTATTAGTTGTAAGAAGCTATATGTCATCATCGTGATTGGCCGTTCAAACTGGTATGCGAAAACAGAAATGAGAGGAGCAAAACGAAAGCACTCACGTAATTGCGAAAGCATTATCCAGGGTTATCGTGCCAAGTGTAACACCATCAAATATGTGGTCCCAAGATCCTTGCCAGGCAGAATCTGATTGAATTCGAACACTAGCTGTAGTGCCACCCGTAACGCCGTGAGTTACGACAGCGGATGTTGCTGAGCTGGGGCCATTATCTGTCATTTGTAGGACTATAGAACCCGAGAAGATAACGCTGTCCATGTTGAACGAGCATGTGACGCAGCTGAACGTCTTTGCAGGTCCTTGGGTCAGCAACGGTTGGCTGATAGTTGGGATCTTGACCTGCCAATCGCCTTTGAACTGGTACGTGGTCGTCTTAATCGTGTGGCTGGAACCGCAGCCAGTGAAGAAGCAGTGGATAGCGTCGCGGTTCTCGTACAGCTCGTGACCTGTACAAATACCTGCATGGATACCTTCGTATGACTGGTTTTGTCAGTTACGCCATTTCTCAGCCCATTATCTGGACGCCGCACATACCTCGCTGAGAGTTCCAAGAATATCAGAAGCTGTTCCATCGCAAAACTCATCCCACGATCGACGGTAAAGGTGGTATTTAAGTTTCTCAACATTACGACGATGGAGGAGAACCTTGCCTCCGTAAGCGATAGGCGTTGATCCCTTTTGGAAGATCGACTGTCCAGAAAGATGTCGTCTTGTTAAAGCACCTTTATTTGTGCAGGTGCCCGAGACTCCATCTGCTGCTCGTTTGAACATTTCGTCTGGGCTGGGGAGTCCCATTTCCGAAAGCTTCTGTTGCAGGCCTTCTTGATCACCAAGGTTATCGGGATCGTACGCAGGGATTGCAACAGTACCATTGGCTTCACCTGGCGTCAAGACCAAGCTACCATCTGGGGAATATTGAGCATTTTCCATAAGCCAGTTGTATACTTCGAGAGCTCCAGGTGTAAGGTCTGATAGACTTGTAGCAAGAGGGTGGTCAGAGCCAGTGCTAGTAGCGGTATGGGTAATACTGCTCCCAGAGTGTGTGGCTGTAGCGCTGGCACTCGCAAAAGTACTAATACCAGAATGACCGGACATAGTGCTGGTACCGGCCGTGTTGGTGATAGCACAAGATGCAGCTGGTTCAGTGGGGGCTGTGGGGGCTCCAGTTGTTGTAGTTGTAAATGTTGCTTTACTGTTGTCAACTTTGCCGTATTGGATGACCGCAAGAGTACTGACGTCTGAGATCCTCTTTTGAACTGCTTTGAAGCTCAGCTTAGAACCGGCTTCACTCGAGTCAGCTCGACCTCCGAGTAGCCAAAATCCATAGGCATTCTCGTCATTGCAGGTTGTGCTGCTAGTGATTAGGACGGTTCCTGTATCTGGGATTGAGGCTAGGATATCGGCAGCTGAGGTGCTGTCGCTTAACGTAATAACAAGAGATGAAGCGGTACAGGCAGTCGAGATGATTTTGTTACTGTTTGCCAGCACAACGCCGAGCATACCCTCTTTCATTGACAGGTTCATGACAGCAACCTGTGTACCATGTACCTCTGCATAATTGAGGGTGACATTTGATGATGGAGTAAGGACAGCGTTCGAGGCACGGTCGATGTCGCCATTCGGCTGTGGCGTGAGCGTAACATTAGCGCTGCCGGATGTACAGCTGTCTGGAAGACTTGGCACGATGACGAGATAAACTGGATTGCAGGTTGCTGGCGATGAAGCGGCTGTCTGAACAATGATATTACGGTCCGAGCCAAGACAGAAGCCAGTTGATCCAATGATGAGAGCATTACCATACGCATCTCGTTTCCAGGTTGAAAGAGCGTTAGCCTCTCCAGAGGAAAGGCCGAGAACCACCTGTGTATCTGCTGAAACTCCACTCACAAGAACAGCATTGTATTCAATACTGCCATTGGAATAAAACGTAACAAGGCTGGCATTCGTTTCGTCATCATAAGCTCGACCAAATAGATTATCAAAGCCAACATATTTAACAGAGCGCCGGCTGAGACTGGTCGCTGGAGCTTCCACTACAGTAATGTAGCCAGTTATTGGCGAGTCCGGAACTGAGGTAGAGGTAGCAGTAGTGCTGGCTGATGTCGTCCTGGAACTTCCAGAACCCGTGGATATGCTGTTGGATGCCGAGGCAGATCTGAGGGTGGTTGACATTGTCTTTTGAGTTGATGAAGACGTAATATGTGCTGACGTCGTTCTAGAAGTCCCAGAACCCGTGGATATGCTGTTGGATGCTGAGGCAGATCTAAGAGTCGTTGATGTTGTCTTTTTGGTTGATGAAGACGTAGTGTGTGCTAACGTCTGCGGGAGTTTGCTGCTTAGTACGGCAACCTGACGGTTTGCGGATGCAGAAGAACCCATGAGTGTCTTCTTCAGCCAGCACTGGCCGTCATGGTAAGCAGCGGCGACGCAGCCGTTAGTCTCGTCACACCACGTGATGCAATCACCAAATGTCCGCAGCATCTTCGAGGCCATGTCACCACCAGGCCGATCTGTATTGCAGGAGATAGTGTAGGATCTTCCACTTGGCTCTTTGACCTGCTTTCCGTTCTGGTTAGGGCAGAGAGCGGGAGTGTTCAGCAAGGAGCTTAGCACAGCGGCTTGACTGGTCGGGTGTTTGGAGGAAGCCATTAGCTTATTCTTCAACCAGCATCTACCATCGTGGTAGATAGCTGCCTGGCAACCGGTTATCTCATCACACCAAGCAATACAATCACCAAAGCTATTAAGCAGCTTGTTTGTTAAGTCGCCGCCCGGATAATCGGTATCGCAAGCAATTGTAAAGCTTCTTCCACTTGGCTCTTTAATTTGCTGGGTGCTTGGGCCTGGGCATAACGCCGGTGTGTTTAATAAAGAACTCAGCACGGCTGTATCAACTCCAGAAGCAACAACAGCGGGATATAACGATTTCTTTAGATAACAGGTTTTCGATCGCCAGCTAGCAGCAATACAACCTTGTGTCTTGTCGCAGAGGTTAATGCAGTTGGGGAAGTCCAGGGTCTGGACCGATGTAATATCCCCATGAGGATGATCTACGCCGCATTGGATAGTAAAGCGCCGGCCATCGGTTGCCTTTACCTGATTACTACCATCTGCAGGTCATATGATCGGGGCTGATAAATACTGTACCCTGACTGCGCCGCTCACTTTGTTGTTGGCTGTGGCGGCGTTTACCGATGACTTGAGGTAGCAGGATTTACCAGAAAATGAGACAGCACGGCAAGCAGGCTGAGTCGCGCAAGCATCGATGCATTCGTAAAAAGTATTGGCTGTGATTGTCTTGTAGTCTCCGCCATGATAATCGAAACCACTCTCCGCGGCAAAGTTATTACCATTCTTGGCGTGATAGATCTGGTCGCGCTGAACCAACTCGTGGGCGCTGGTGGCGTCCGGGATAGCATTGCTAGCTCCCTTGGACGCCACAAGCAGGAGCACAGATGCACCTACGAGTAGTGACCGCATATTGGTGTGGAATAGCTTCAACAACCGTAGAGAATACCAAGTTGCTTACAAGTGGCGTGAACGCCACCAACTAGGTGTAAGCTTTTGTTTATTTTTGAGGCGGCGGATGGTACATCTTATTTATATTGCGTGCTATATAAAATTAAAAAAGCGGCACAGTCACGAGATATAGGCTAAGAGAAAGAGACTGTGTTTGATTCAATCACAAGAGTCGTTTGGAGAACAACTTGCGCTGCCTTAATTTGCATACAAACTATATTAAGAGCTACGCATACTATTCTCTTAGCTGAAGCTTGCTTCCATTCTCCATTGAGTAATAGAGTGGGTATACGGCGACGTGCTTATCCCCTAAAATGCAACTATCAAATAAAAACTATTCCAATCCAATCACTTTCAGTCACAACCCCATAATTAAATTAAACTATTGGCTACGTAAGTCAATAGTTTACCAATAACACAACTGCGAGGAATACTAGTAATATTAAAAGGTTTTTTTTTTCAGGGGTTGCAATCATGCTTATACTTATGCTCTTCGTGCAAAGCCTCAATTAAGTTTTCTTATATTTCTCTTTACTCTTTTCAGAGGCGCAAAATATATAGCAAAGATACTTCATAAAAGAGTATATAGGTTCTAAAACAATATTAGAGAAGGAAGATTTCCTTGAAAAGCCTATTCTTAAATAGGCAGCTCTCATATTGTCTCCACTTCCTTTATGCACTCTTCACGCCCTACGTATATGTAAACTTACTCAAGTGGGCATAGACAACTTCCTGATTCAATATCAAAGTGGAAACCCTTGATGTATTCTAGTGATTCCTGCTATCATCCCATATTTTATCAGTGCAGCTTGATAGAAGCAGAATTTTATACTCGATATGTCTTCAAGTTCAACAGAAATAAACGCAGCCCAGCTAGAGTAATACTAGTTGACTAAAGTCATAAAATATTACGGGACTCGAATTCTTATTCTGGCCTTTAATATACTAACAATTGGTTATAATAAAGATGGCAAGAGTGTAGTACGCCTTTCACATAAATCAGAGGTTCTCCTCAAGAGATATGCTTTCTAACATGGGTTGTAACATACTGCATACATAACTTAAGGTATAGTGTGTTAGGCAAAAGACAGTTGCAGATTGTGTTGCTCTGATACTTAAAATTACTCATGGGATATTCACCGCTACAACTTTGGTAGCCGGGCTATGGCGTTGAGATGTTTATTCAGTATTCTTTGTATAAATAGCGCTTTCCCTCATCATACTTTTACTGAAATTTTAAGAAAGACAAGCACACAGCAAAGGCATTCTCAATACATCATCACATTAACTCAGACGCAAAAAAAATCCTTTTCAAAAACAATGCTTTTTTTCTCACTTGCCACTTGTTGGCTGACGCTTTCCTTAGCGTCAAGTCTTCCCGATTCTGAGTCAAAACGGGATACAAATGCAGTACCACGCGCCGCTTATTTCCTCGACAATGACCCAAGCGGTGCTTCAATCGTGTCTTTGGACATTTTGACCAATGGAACTCTCTCCAATCCTGTGAGAACTCTTACTGGTGGAAAGGGTTCATGGGCGAAGTGGATTATTCCAAGCCCTGCTCCTCCAGACAACACTGGGTTTGCAGGACCAGACAGCCTATTTTCTGCCAACTCGATTGTTGTATCTGGAAACTTTCTTTTTGCCGTTAATGCTGGAAGTAACACCCTTTCCCTGTTTAAGATCGATCCCAGCAACACACAGCACCTGACCCTCGTTGGTAAACCTGTCGGTACTTTGGGCGATTTCCCAATCTCAGTCACTTACTCAGAGAAACTTCACATTGGTATGCCTGCACAATATCGGCTAGATTGAAAAAGAATTGACACATTATAGCTTGCGTTCTCAATGGCGGAACAAGAGCTGGAGTCGCCTGCTTCTCCGTTGACGCGTCTCGTGGCCTCGTCGTATTGGACGGCAGCCTTCGCTCTATCACCCCGGCCTTGAACCAAACGACGCCACCAGGGGGCCCTATTCTCACTGCATCTGATATAATGTTCAATCCATCTTCAACAGGCCTTTTTGTCTCTACGAAGGGTGCCCCCCCTTCTTCTGCTGGAGCGAGCCCAACTCTTGGCTTTATCTATGCGTGGCCGGTAGTTGGGAAAACAGTTTCCACAACTGCAACCATCTCGCAACCGTCAGGTGTCATTTTAGACTTCAGTCTTACATTTTTGGGAGCAGATGACTCAATTCTGCTTACCGATGCTGCCGGAGTTGGTTATATTCTCTCGGTGTCTTCCGGCTTGTAGGTTACTGTGAAAGACAAAGTTGTGCTTCCGTCGAACGAGGGGCTCGCTTGCTGGGGAGTATATGTGCCAGATGTTTGTTTATTTATTTATTTTATTATTAACGTCCACTAAGTAAGCTAATTACATAAGTCCTTATTTAAGCACTAGGATAGTAGGAGCTGCTAAGTTTAAATCGGGCGTTTACTACGTTTTAATATAATAAAGGAAATAAGGGAGTATTAATCTATTTTACGTATTTATTTTTATAAGGGGGGGGCTATATAAGTTTATTTCCTTTACTAATTTCTGGAAATCCTTATACTTTTTATTACTAAGGAGGTATTAAATATAAGTAGTTTTAAAGTATACCTCCTTTTTTAGTATATTAAGGAGAAAAAAAGCTATTATATAATATTTTATAAAGTATTTTTATATCTTAGGCTTATTATATTTATAAATAAGCTTAGTATTATATTTAAATTTTTTATAGTATTTTATAAAGTTTTTATATTTAAATTTTTTAGCTAATAACTTATATAAGATTAAGTATAGAAAATATAGTTTTAGGGGTATAAAAAAGGTTTTATAAAGGCTTTATTTACTAACCTTATAGAATTTTAGGTAATTATTATTTTAATTATTATTTTATATTTCCTTATATTTTTTTTTTACTTACTTTTTAATAAAGGTAATAATAAAATAGTTTTTTAAATAGTAAAAAAGTTTTAAACCTTTTTTTATTAATTAATTAACTTTTTTATTTCCTAGTATATTTTTATAATTTAAGACTTAGGTAACTTTTATAATTATATATAAAAATAATCTTTAGGTAATTTAGTATAGCCTTATATAAGCTCCTTAGGATAAAGTAAAAGTTAATTTTAAAATTTTATTTACTATTACTAAGTTATTTAAAAAAAGTAAAATCTTTTAAATATTTAAGTTTATAAAAGTATATATCCTAGTTAACTTTATAACTTTAAAAACGCCTACTACCTTAATATTATAAACCTTTATATTAGCAAAGGAGCCGTATACTATAGTTTTTTTAAAGTTATAGTATATAATAGCTTTTTATTTAATATTACTTTATTTATCCTATAACTTATTTAAGTAAGTAAAGAAAGTAAACCTAAGGAAACTATTAAGTAATTTTAGGTATTTTTCTACTACCTTTAACTTTAGTAAGCCTTTAAAATCTAAGCCTACTTAAACTACTTTATTATTTTTAATAAATAAAAAAGGTTAAACTATTTTCTTTACTAAGGTTATAGTATATTATAGTTAAGTAAAAAAAACCTTAAGGGGGAGTTTTTTATTAATATATCTACTAATTAAATAGTTTTTATTTAAACCTATAAAGTAAGCTACTATATAAAGTTTAATTTATACTACTTATACTAATACTAAAGGGACTTTTAATTTTTTATATATAATAAAAAAGTTAATTATTTTTTATATAAAAATAACTACTTTAGCTACTACTTTAAATAAGGGTTTTAGAATTATAATTAATTTTATTAAGCCTATTTCTATTTATTTATTTAGGTTTATTATATTTTATTTACTTTTACTAAGCTAAAAAATCTTTATTTTATATAAGGCTATAGGGGTAATATAAACTTTAGCTACTATAACTACTATATTTAGCAAGGATTTTTTTTATATTTTATTTAAAGATTTTAGGAAGTTAGCTACTTTAAGGGCTTTTACTTTTATAATTTTAAAATACTTTTTAAAAAAAAGCTGTAAATTTAAGTATATTTTTAGCTAGTAGACTAAGTCCTAGGGGGCTATAGTCTTTTCTCTAAAATCTACTTCTTTATTATATACTTAAAATTTAGTTTTATAAAAGTATATAAGTTTAGCTTTATTTAAGTTAAAGAAAACTATATTTTTATTACTTTAATCTAAGGTATTTTTTAATTTTTACTAAAGCTTTTAAGTAATTTCCTTAATATTAGCCTTTACTACTATAATATTAATATTATTTATATACCTAAAGTAGGTATTAAGGTTATTAAACTTTAAGCTAAAAGAAAAGTAAAGTATAAAAATAATAAGGGAGATAAAAGACTTTTATAAGGCTTTATATTTTAACTTTATCTTTAAAAAGGTAATTCTATAGCTATTTTAAATAAAAGCCTTATGGTTACTTATAAAAAAGTTAACTTATTTTATAAAAAAAAGGGGCTATTTTTATTCCCTAAGTTTATATACTAAGCAGTTATATATAATAATATTAAATATATTAAAAATATTAAGTATAAGGAAAAAGATAATAAGGCCTTAGGCTAAAGTAACTTTAGTATTATATAGTAAATAAGTAACTAGGTTTATTATAAACTTTTTTAACTAAAAGTCTTTTAAGGCCTTTACTTATATAAAAAAGTAGGGAAATAGGTTTATAACTTTTATATATAATATATACTTTTTTTAGCTTTCTTAGTTTAAGGATAATAATAATTTTTATACTTTAGAAAAGAAGTAGGTAATATTTTATTATTAAATATTTATAAAAAAGATTAATTATATATTTATTAATAATAGGCTAGGTAAATTATAAAAGGGTAATAAAAATATTATTTACGTTAAGTATAGTATTTCTTAATTTTATTATAGCTTTTTTAACCTTTAATTTTAATATTATTTAATTTTAGTAAATATTTTTATTAATAAGAAAGTCCTTTTCTTATAGGTTTAAGATATTTTCCTTTATTATTTTATACTTAAGAAGTTTATTTTTAAAAAAAGTTACTTTTTCTATAAGGTTTAAAATACTTTAGTTTTTATTTATTAAAGGGAGTAGTTAAAAATAATCTATTACTTTATATTATTTAGCTATTAATTAAATATTCTTAGTAATACTAGCTTTTACTATAATTTTATTTTAGTAAGCTTATTTACTATAGTATATAATATTTCTAAAGGTTTTATAGGCTTTTTCTTAAGTAAAGGAGTTATTTACTACTTTTTTATAAGCCTTATAAGCTACTTTATACTTTTTTAACTACTATAGTATACTATAGCTATTTTAGTATTTAGTTTTACTAGCCCCCTTTATAACTTATTTAAAAAAGTCCTATAGGGCCTTAGTATATTTATTAAAGTTAGTTTTTAATAATATAATTAAGTTAACTATAAGGAGGGTTTAAGTAAAGGAGTATATAAGTTAGTTAAAGTTTTTTTAATATTTTAATAAAATATATTTTTTCCTTATCCTTAGGGTTATTTTAAAGGGCTTAGGTAGGTTTATAATTATTATATAGTAATTTAATCTTATATTAAAGAAGTATTTAACTTTAATTAATATAAAGTAGTTTATAAAAACTAAGTTAATATACTTTCTTAAGTATTAAATAGGTATATTTATTAAAGCTAAGAGGAGATTATACTTTTCCGCTTATTTTATAATTTTATTATCTACTAGGTCTATACTTTTATTTAATTCCTAAAGTTAATATAAGGCGTTAAAGTTATTTATAATAATTAAGTAAAGGAGGGAAGGATTTTATTTAATAAAAGTTTTTATAACTAAATTTACTAAAGCCCTTTAGTAAATATTAATAATAATATAATTATATACTTTTATTTAATATATATATTTATTTTTTAAACTTAAGGAAAAAAGTTATTTACTAAAAAAGTTTAAAAAGATTTTAATAAATATAAAAACTAAAGGTTTAGTATTTTTTTAACTATTTAAAAAGTTATATACTTAATATTTAAAATAATTCTTAGTTTACCTTTTATTTAATACTTTATTTTATTAAGTATAAGGTTCCTAAATTAGTATAATATTATAGCTACTTTTTTATATTAGTAATAAGGTAATATTTTAGTATAAACTACTTCTCCTAACGTTAACTTAAAAGATTTTAAAGCTAGTATTTTTTTAGTAGCTATAATAGGGCCTATTATTTATAAGCTTGCGTTAAAAGGTCCGTTAGTTCTAGGGGGGGCGTTAAGTATATTTTTATTACCTTTAGCTTCTTCTTCTTTATTATTTAGGCCGGCTACGTAGACTGCTGACCTAGCGGAGGAGGTTCCTTCGTAGAAATCTTCCTTATCTAAGTTAACTTTAATAATAACCTTTTTAGCCGGAGCCTAAGGGGGGAAGGGTAGAGCTGAGCTGGAAATTAGCAGCCGTATGCGGGGGCCCGTTCGGGTTCCCGGGTTAGACGTCTTCTTAGCATTGGGGGCCGGGGATGAGCTTAATAGAGTTTGGATTGGTGGCTGGTCGAATATCGGCATATGTTCTCTTGGATGAAAGAAAGCTTTAAATTTGGAGGCGCGACGAAGAAACTCACGAGCCGAAAGCGTGGTTCTCCCACAGATGTTTCTGGACCTTCAATAAACTTTCTCCTGCTCCATCCGTCTTCCACGCTTCGATCAAGCTGTGGTAAAGCCGGGCGTGGCCACCCTAGAGAGATGCCTTCCTGGTTGATCAACCTGCGTGTATTGGGGTTCGTGTTTCAACCTATCTCCAACCGATGCCCCAATACATCCCTTCTTTAAGGCCAACATCTGCGCATATCTGTCATTGAAGCAAATGGGTTCATGGTTTCAGACAGTTGTCGATCTCTATAAATATAAGGTAGTTCTTCATTACATGCTTTACGTCTTTACTTTGGTGTAGAAAACCATTCGGGTTATCGGCACTGTTGGGTCAAAAGATATAGCTGCTGCTGTAATCAAGTGCTGCGTGCGGAACGGCGTTTGCATTTGGCATTATCACTGACTTCACTTTAGTGAAGGCGTTTAATTTTGCTTCTAAAAATGTACAGATACATTGACTCACGTGGTTCATGCGGCACCCCTCCTGGTTTTGCTTGTACAGACGTTTACCAAGACATGATCGCGTCTACGATAAAAGAGCATAGGGTATACGTACTCGTGAAAGCCCACATTATACTGACAATATAATTTTAGCATAACAGCTATGTCAAGCAGTATATGTGGCTATGGTGGCCAAAATCTCTAGCAATTTGTAGGTCGTTTGGTCCTTGAATAAAGCGTTGGAAAGATCCAAGTAGAAGCTGCCTCACCAAGCTTCATTAAGGCTGGCCATCTTCATTCTATTTAACTGTTACAAATCCCGATGTCATCCTCGGGTCTATTTTGCATCTATTCAGTGGTTTCAGTCGATGAACGAATCAAATTACATCAGCATCTCAAATTTCCTTACTGGAACTTATACAAAGACCGATGACGTTCGATATTCATTCAATCACGTTGTATGTGTTTGCTACTTAATTGCATGTGCACCCTAACTTCCTGGTAGTAGGTTGATATCCCAGACGTAGTTACCGGTCATATTGAAGCTCTGATGAGTTCTGCGGCAGGGTCAGGCGTATTACGCTTGTTTCTGAATTGTCTATGGCACAGTTGGTTGAAATATTAGCGGAAAAAACGTTCCGACTATAAAAGTCATCGTTCATGGTATAAGGTATCGCTTCAAGAATATAAAATAAATTATGCCGAAAGCTAAATAAGCTTTGAGATCAGGATGGGAAGGCAACTTCAGAAGTTGTTAAACAAGTCACAAGTATGGGAAGCTGCAGTGTCAGACCGAGGGACCTTGATTTGACTAGCTCCTACATAACTGTTCTTTATATACTTGTGGTTCCATTGATCTGCCTTTTCCTTCCATCACTTTGCTCTGTTTTTCCAAGATACCGGAAACAGAGTCACCTGGCCTTGTATTCCCCCACTTTAGTCCCTGGTAGTGAGCATAAAGCTAGCGCCTTCATTACCAACGCATTGGCGAGTGTTGGACAACGAGTCGGTGCTGGATGGGCCGGTGCAGTCGTTGTTACGGAAGGCTCGGATGCCCAGGTTGCGGCCAAAGAAACTCTGAGCAATGTTGCGCTGGACGAAAGAGTTGAATGCTTGACGAGCAGGGTGGCATTCTCCAATATTTCCAATTGTGAAGGATTGGAAGGGAGTATCGTCGCAACCGTTGGCGTGGAGATCAATGGTTAAAGTGTCGGCAAGGGCAAGGCCAACAGCGAGGGTAAGAATAGCCAGAATAGACTTCATGTTGAGAAAGTTGATAATGAGATAATGTGTAAGGCAGTGAATGATGTTTGACTTGATTGCGATTGTTGTTATTCAAGAGTTCAATTTACAATGGGAAGGTAGTCTTTATATATAACTAACCCTCGCACTGAGGTAGAGAAGTTCTTTGCTATGAAGACATAACTGGTGGAATCCCAACCTCCATCGGCTCCTCGCGGAACGATGAGACCACGGAGACTTCGAAGAAATTACTATAAGAGGTTTGGGTATGACGCCTGCGCCCGCTGCAAGTGCGGTATGTCGAGAATACAAGGATGCTTTGCCGAATGCCGTATGATCCGTCTTTTTCTCTACGAAATACTAGCTAAGAGTTTACGAACAATAGTGGACACCCAAACTACGCATCGGACCATCAGGAGCACAACCAGTTTCAGAAATTACACGTAGTGGAGGACACAACCGTTTGCAACACAACTCTTCCCCAAACTACCCAACTCCCTATATCAACATACAAGCAGCGTAAATAAAGTCCACTCTTTTTCCTTAACCGTTATACAGTAAAAGCCGAACCTATTACCAGCAGCTCTTACTATACCCAGATGTAAGTTAATAACCTCGATTATGTAATAGTCATTAATAATACAATAAGCAAACAAATCACTGGTGGAAATTTTATCCAAAATATAAGCATGGCTCAGCTTACTGTAAGCTGATTGCTGTTGCATTAAGGCGGAGCAAATTAGATCTTCAACACGATTTTATTACCACTTACAGTAATTTTTTACTCAAGATGCAGGCACGTTTTAGCCTATTGTAAGCTCCTTTACGCGTCGTTGTCGTTCATAGTTGTTTATATATCATACTATAATTAATTGCCATTCAGACATCATGACGAATGATAGCCAATCTACTTGGTATTTGACTAAAAGAGGCCATAATATTCGATGTGAGACTTATACTAGGGAATATACTTTGAAGGTATGTATATCTTTTACATTTAAGAACAACCGTATCAATATCCAACTAAACAAGACCTCGCATTCCCTGCGAATACTTGGCATGTATCTACTACCCAGCTATGAATATCGGTAGAACTAGATCAAGATCAATAACGGCTGCCTTTAATTGAGGCTCTCTAGATCCGCTCCTCGCATATACCAGGGAGTAAGGAATAAGTCATCTATGCCAGGTGCCTGTATTGTGGTCCGCAGGGAATTGGACTCTAACTATTACTGCTAGTATAGGCTTTAATTTATGTATAACTCCGGAGCTACGATACTTCCCATCTGTTTTTCCGCAACTAGTTATACAATAGCGTAATAGGTACAGGGGTCTTGCATAGGTTAATAAGTAATCAAAACTTGGGGTAGGGGAAATAAGCAATGGGGATAATATTACAGTGCTACTATGTTAGCATTTTATTTTCTAAATGCGGAACAGGGTTATTAATCTCTCCGATCCCCTCTCTCCCCCTATTCCCCCTTTTCCTACGCCCTTCCCTTCCCCCAAAGTTGTTATAGACTTGCTATAGTACTCGCAAAACTAACTGCAACTGTAAGAGAAGTTTAGAACCTCGGGTTGAACAAAGATAGCGCGAACACTAATACATTATCAAGCTGTAGTGACACAGATCTATAATTAGCATCTTACATTGCATTAGCCCTCAAAGTATTTGGGAAAAGGGAGAGAGGTAAATTCATGTGATTAAAATACGCATACCCGAGAACAGGAGAAAACGAGATACATAACTATTACCACTGCCAGTTAGGAATTGGGTTTGGCACATGCACAATTCTAAATAGATTAGCTTTATTTTACGAAGTTCATTTTCATAGATTTCATCATGGTGATATCGGTAGGGATTTGGGAGGGACATTTGTGCCGGTTGCAGTCAACATGCACTACGATGACTATGACCCCCACTTACAACATTGACATGAAGCAACTACCATCAATCAATAGTCGTATGTCGGTTTGAGTTGGCTTTCCATGGCCTCCCTCAATCTTCTACCTGCGCTGAAGAATTATACAAGATATACTATGTCATAGAGTATGACATGCGCTCGCTCATCGGGAAGAATATAGGTATTGTTGATATGCAATTTGTTTGTTTGTTTGTTTGTTTTGTTTGTTTTATTATTAACGTCCACTAAGTAATCTAGTTACATAAGTCCTCATCTGGGCACTAGGACGGTAGGAGCCGCCGAGTTCAGATCGGGCGTTCGCTACGTTTCAATGTAACAAAGGAAAAGGGGATGTGTCAATCTGTTTTACGTGTCTGTTTCTGTAGGGGGGGGGCCGTATGGGCTTGTGTCCTCCACTAGTTTCTGGAAGTCCTTATAACCTCCGTCACCGAGGAGGTATTGGATATGGGTGGTTCCGAAGCGCGCCTCCCTCTCCGGTACGTCGGGGAGGAAAGGGGCTACCATGCGGCACTTTACGAAGTGNCCTTGTGTCCTTGGTTCCCCGCATTTGCAGGTGGGCCTGGCGTCGTGTCCGAATCTCTCGTGGTATTCTGTAAAATCCCCGTGTCTAGACCTTTCGGCTAGCAGCCTATGTAGGATCGGGCGTGGGAGATGTAGTTCAGGGGGCATAGAGGGGGCTTTATAAAGGCCCCATCTACCGGCCTTGTAGGACTCTGGGTAGTTGCTCTCCCAGTCGGCGTCCTGTAGATATGCAATTTGTATCAGGGAGCCTTATACCTACTTAACCCCAAAGTTGTCATGGAGCAATTGTAAAGGTGGTGAGACATGCAGTTTGTGTCGGCGGTCTGCTTCTGTATGCGCCTTCTGCCAACGTTAGTTCCCGGGCTACGACGATAAGTACTTGGCTGCTAGGGAGCATAGTGAGATCATCTGCTATATATACCAACAATCTAGACGTAGGAGCCGATGATAACAAAGACGTCCATAGCAGATGATAATAGGTGCGCCACAGTATCTGAGTTTCGAAATTGATCAACCACAGATTGATGCACTCAGTTGGTTTGGCTGCGCCAAATCATAATACTCGGATGCGCTAGAATTACCCTAGTGGGAGGTCACCAATCACCAGTGATGCAGAGGTAGATACAGTGGTTTCTCCTAGGATTTTTTTTTTAGCCAAGAGCACGAAGGAATCATTCTCAAAGTGAACGATATGCTGCATTGCCTCCCTATTACTAGGGCTGCGCCCCAAATTACACGTCATCTCATTACGAGTCCAAGCCATCAGACGCGACTGCCAGTGCTATGGATGAGTGCTTCATATGGGATGAAACCGACGGCTTCTGGCCTGACTACACCTACTCCGTCAAAGAGCCAACGCTGAGATAGGACACGAACGGATTTTGAGAATTCATCTTCCCCTCCCCATAATACTACCTCTATGTAGTACTACCACACCAGAACAGCTCTGTAACGGATCTTACCACTAGTAAGCTTTTCAATCCCAGCCGCGATGCCCTCGTTGCTGAAGGGAAATTTCTCAATGACAGGGTGTATATTGTTGCGCGCAGCAAACTCTAACATCCCCTGATGAGCCCTGCGAGAGGACACTAAGTTCGTTACAATATTATAGCCGTTAAAAAATGTTGGCATAAAGCTAAATAGAACTTCATTAGTTAGGCTCAGTCCATGCGGTTTGGATATCGGTATTCCACCAAGTCTTACGGAATTTCAAAAAGAGGCCCTGTGAAGCCAATTGCAACAATAGATGCACCTCGAGCGAGAATTTCCTTTTCCATAAAGCTGGAGTACACTTCAGTAACTGTGAATGAAATCTTAATATGAGAAGTCAAAAAATGTTTACCTATTCCAGTCCGGAGTCTTGCTGCCAGTCAGAAGAAGTAGATCGATGGGTTGCTGGATGTGCTCCTTCTCTTGGCCGAGGACAACAAAGTGGTGAGCTCCAAACTGCCTGGCCTCTTCTTCTTTGGAAGAAGTAGTGCTAAAGACAGTAACATGTGCTCCAAGCTTGTTGGCAAACTGAATTGCCAAGTGGCCCAAGCCGCCGATGCCCAGGATGCCGATGCGCATACCATGTTTGTAGTATTGGATCAAGGCACTGTAGACGGTAGAGCCAGCGCACTGAAGAGGGGCCGCCTCTTCGGATGGTATTTCCTCTGGGATTGGATAGACATAGCCCTCTTGAGCAATGAAATGGTGACCCAGGGTGCCGTTGTTGAAGTCACCCTCGCCGAAAATGTTACGGCTGTAGCAAAGAATATCCTGGCCTGAGATGCAGTAACTGCAATTGCCGCAGCTCTAGCCAAGACCTGTTAACTTGTATTTTCATGAAGATTGGCTGCTCCAGAAAAATCTCAGGGAGGAGGAAAGTTCAACATACGCTACGCAAATAACCCCCTCCCACCCGGTCCCCAACGTTGAGTTTAGTAACCTCACTTCCAACTTCCTCGACAATACCGACACCTTCGTGGCCAAGAACACAGCCGTATTGAAGATAGGCAAGATCACTAGCACAGAGTCCGCTATGCGTGATTTTTATTAGAACTTCTTTTGGCTGAAGGTCCCTAGGAGGATTGGAAGAGAAGAGGACTTTTCCATTAACACCACGCATCGACTGATTGACGGCCATGACTGGTTCGAAGAATTCTAGAGGCGAGGCAGGATGAAAGTGGATGCTTCAAGTTTTTGGAGCCCCTTCTTGATGGCAGTGATAATACCAGTAGGGTAACTGTTCAATGATATTTTCGACAGAGCCTTGTTTAAAAGCAGCGTGTAGCTAGAGAAAATGTTCTGATGAGGTACTGGTAACTGAGGTTTGGTGGCGAGTGCTTGTTTATATACTTGATAATTTTTCGTTTACTGTTATCTCTTTTTAGGGCCCTTTCTTGCCCCACGGAAACAAAATGCTATGGGCCATGTTAATGGCCAAAATGGTAACCCTCACGGACGAAGTCGAAGTGGATGTCATGCAGTATACCGCACAGTGTCGGCGGGGTTTGGCTGCAATATTGAGATCCTCTACTTCAAATCTCTATTCGGAAGCGACACAACGGCTTCTGGTTCTCTTTGTAGCCGCTAATTCAGGCCGTGTGAAAGGCAGTATACCTAGCATCATGGGCGTCTTCAATTTAGCTTGTTGGGAAAATAGCGTTAGAGTCCTTACTTCTCGGGCGAAAAGCGCCGGGGCATTTCAGTCTTGGCCTGCATTACTACTGTTACTGGGCAATGTTGTCACTTGCCTGAAGATCCGAGGCGATTCCATATAAGTCGCAAGTATGGTAGTTAGACCACGAGTGATAATGCCTTAGCCAAAGCGGATTGTATGTAGTAAGAGCTTATCGTTAGCTTCGCCCTTAAGTTAAGCATCGACCGATCCCCTGCCAGCGTTGTTCAAGCTAATTTTCATTGGCGGCTCCGCAGTGGCCAACATTGGACGACGGCAGAGAACCTTGGCACATGCTTGAAGTTCCGTAGCTCTCCTACGACCAATGAAATCTCGATTCTAATAGATGAATAGTAATCAACGAGAGGTACTATTAAATCTCCATGAGGCCCGCTCGCTCGATCCTCCAAGCCCACAGCTGCGTCGGCCGATGCAGCTTCGCCATTTTATTGATTCATCAGATTTGTTTCCCATGTCGGCACAAGTTCCGCTGACTCTCAAGGCGCAACGGCCTTGCCGTTACTGTGCAAGTCGCAAACAAGGCTGCGACCGGTTGCTACCGACTTGCTCTCGTTGCACCTCGTAAGCTCTTTTTCAATCGCGGGTATGTACCAACTTTGACGTTCACGCTGTTCTGACGGGTTGTTGTTATTACAGAAAATCTCTTAAGTGCAATTACAGTGTCTCACGAGATGGACACGCTATAACTTTACAGAACAAGGCGCCTGTACAAAACAGCGACCTGGTGGAATTTCGCGGTTCTTGTTCTCCTGACCTCTCCACCAAAGGCGAATCGTTATTGTTTCGCTTAGTGTGTGACAGCGACAGGCAGGATGCAGAGTATGACGGGCCCAGCTTGTCCGAGCTGCTCTTAAAAATACTTGGCGCTTTCGACATTGACATTCCGAATTTGTTGGACAGCTACCTCGCGAGCGTCCATCGGTGGCTCCCCGTTCTCAGGGAAGAACATATCCGTCAAAAATGCGCCCATTTAGAGAATGATGATCATGGTGACGTTGCACGTTTGCTGCTGACTTTGTATGTTGTCGTTCAATTTCCCTGCGACCACGCAGCTCATTCAATGAACACTCGGCTTTACCGTACTCTGAAACGGCTCTTTGTTATTACCCAATCATCGCCTGGTATTAAAGATCTTGATATATTGCAATACGGGCTTTTACTAGGGGCTTATGAATGTTCACAAGGTCTAGAATCCGCTTATGATACGTTGAATCACTGTGTATCACTAGCCCGGATGGTCGAAGTTCAGAGCTATAAATCTAATGACCTGGATTCAAAAGACCCGAAAGAAAGACTTTTATGCGGTTATGCGCTAGTAGCCTTGGATCGGTAAGTCATGACTGTCTAGATGAGATTGGGAACGTTCGCCGCTAACCAAGAATTAATCAGCCTCATTGCACTCTCCAGCATGGACTATTGTTTACCATTGCTGCTGCCGGACCCGCAGTCCTTTCCTCTGATAGAGGAGCATGACCTTGAATTGGACGAGAAACTGAAAGCTTACGGCTACACGGGGAGAATGAGAATCACAGCTACCGTGGCACGATTAGTTAGCGATACTATGGCGTTCTTACGCTGTTGCCAGCTCGGAAGAACCCAACAAGCTGATTACGTAGCTGTGGACAGCTCTGCGCAGGCTTCACTTGGGAAGCTATTGCGCCTTTCTGAAGACAAGGCGTTTTTGAACTGCGAACCAACGTCGATGGCAATTAGGTAAGGCCACGTTTAAATTTGTGGTATGTGGAGCTCCCAACTTATACTTCATCCATCCCTTAGCGCTCTCATGGCACTCCGAAGCAGCCATGACAGACGTAGAAGCGGCCCAAGAGACTCCAAGGACGCCACTGCATTGTGGTCAATAGCGAGTATGACTTTGGAAATGTGTCTCTCGGCTTCCGAATTCATTCGATACCACGGCATTGAAAACTTGTCCTTCATTGGCCTTTGTTGTGTATGGCGAGCAGCGTTACCTCTAGTGAGCCTCAAAGAATTTCAGATTTCCGCCCAAGAGTTGGAGACTCTTCGAAGTGAGCTGCAGCGATTTAGTAGCTGTTGGGCAATAGGTGGTACGTATATGTCGTGTGACATTTCTGATGAAAATCGAAACCGGTGTTAATATTGGTAGTCACCTTTTTGCAACAATTTGACCAACTGGTTTACCTAAGGAACTTTTGAATAGGTCCATTGGTTGAAACGTCAAGGATGCAGTATTTTCTATAACTACTTACCTAGTAGACATGCTTCAAAAACATTTTGCCATTTACACTCTATTCCCAACAACAGAAACGTAAGCAGGCAGACAATCAATAAAATGCGCTAAAAGGTGATAGCTTCACACTCTCACGTTGCTCGCTTTCACACCTTTACGGAGAGAGCGAGAGAAATAAATTTGCCGATTTTTGGAAGCAGCACAAGATGTTTTATTAAGATAGTGGGAACTTATTTGACTGCGAAGCACAAGCAGCCTTGAATCATTATCGAATAATGAGATGATAAAGTTAACAAAGTCTGTGCTGAATCAACTGGACGGGGATCTTTCAGGGGAGGTATATCACGCCTTAAGTAGCGGTCAGCTCGATTGTTTTACCCTTCACAGAGTTCCATAGAAACAAGACCGAGCAAAATACAGATATTGCAGCCATGGCAGTAGAGACATAAAATGTGTTGATAGCGGCGTTGTAGGCGTGGGGGATGACAGGAAGGAATTCCTTGGGAATCAAAGTTTAAATTGCGTGGCGCCAATCTGAACTACTTTGTAAGGATCGAGGCCATCAATGTTTGCTGTGGCCACGTTGGAAACAAGCTTGTTCTGGAAGATGTTCTGGGCAACATAGATAAAGAGAGCTCCGCCCAGTGTTTGTGTAAATATGATGATGGCGGTGCCAATGGCTATACCGTCATGTTTGAGTGAAGCCTGGACAGCAACCATGGTCTGTTGCATGCCGATGCCAGCGCCGATGCTAAAGAGGATCTGGTAGCCGATCTAAACGCCGCTGCCAGAGTAGACTTCAAAAGTAGACATCAAGCCAGCACCGACAGCCATGAGAATGGTAGAGGCAAGGATGAAAGGAGCGTAGTAGCCAAAGGTGCTGACGAGGCCGCCGGAGATGAGAGAGAATATTACTAAGGAAAGAATCATGGGTATGTTTCGAATACCTGACCCAATGGCAAATATGTCATTGACGCCTTGGAACCAGAATGGGAGCTGGAGTGGTTATTAGTCAAGGGACAATGCAGAACGCAGCAGCGAGAAAGACATACGTAGTAGATCATGACGAAGAATGAAGCTCCTCAAGAAGCACCAAAGAAGGCGCACGACCACACAGTCCTGTTCATAAAGATGCGGGGGGGCGCAGTGGCCTTGTCTTTGAGCCAGATCTGCGAAGCGACAAAACTAGCAATGAGGACACCAAAGACGACGATTTTACATTCGCAATGGCTTCAAATTCAAATTTGAAGTCATGTACGGCTTCTGCATTTGCAATGTCTTTTTTCTATGTAAAATACTGAGAAATACCGACACCGGTCATACGCCTCAAGCTGTGGGCCATACAGCCACAGGGTCCCGGTCAGGGTAATACTTTCTAATCTAGGGGTAATACCTGTTAATCCGTCCCTTTTTTAAATCTATCCCTAAATTTGGGGGTAAGCGCCTGTGGCGCTTTTTTAGGTTAGCTTTCTCAGATGCCAAAGCGCCTAGGCACTTGCTTTATGTTATTAGACAGAAGGGATAGGTTAAAGTAAGCGCCAGTGGTTCTGTTTTAGTATCCCCTGTTTTAGGTTGTCTTTCTCAGCTGCCAAAGCGCTTAGGTACTTACTTTATATAACCTCCCCTTTACCCTTTCTTGATATTTTTTTCATAATCTTGCCTTTACTTTGATATCTTATTACTGTTATTAAATCAAACCTTATATCCCAGTCCATCCTACTGTTGCAGGTTACATCCATATTCTAAGTTATTTACACCTACTTAACTGCCATTAAACACTATGAGATACTTTCTGGGTACAGAGTATATTCCTTATAATTGCATTATAGCCCACCGAAGTCAATAATTCTAACAGGCTGCTATAATAGCCCTAAGCTTACTAGCTTTCTTTCTCCATAGCACTTATGCCAAACAATTCGATCAGTGGTACCCCTTCTATCGGAAATCCCTAACCATTATGGAAAAAAACCCTGAATGCTACAACAACTACGCACGCGACGTCCAGGACCGAGGAGCCTCCGATCCTGACGTCTGCAAAACCATGGTCAACTGCCTCATGACTAACAACGGCGACATCAACAAGTCCGATTGGGCCTCCGCAGTGGTCCTGCTCGGCCTGACACCAACGATCCTGGGACAATTGGGCTCAGCTCTCAGAGAGAAAGCTCAGCTAAGTTTCCAGAGCCCATTACTTGGGTTGCTGTGTATACTTGGCGGGCCTTCAATCCCGTTCGAGAGGCCGTGGGTAAAAGAGAATTCCGCGGATGAGAAGAAACTAAGCCCTTTCGCTTGGAAGGAAAGAAAAATAAAATTAATCATGGTGCCGAAATACTTATTGGCGGTAGGGGCAGCGGCCAACGTTATTCATAATATGATTACGCTTGGTCAGCAAACAATCATTAGCTGGAAGTGTACCTGGTCGCATCTCGAGCTTGTGTGGATTTTTACAGCGTTTGTGCCAGTCTTATTTGCAGTTGGGGCTATCTTCTTCAAGAAAAGGGCCAGATGTTTAAATTCTGTGTCAAACATTATGTGTGCGGCACATGTTGTTTTTGGGACATTAATGCTTTCGTCAGTTCTGTTTATTGGAACAATAGATGCATTAGTAGTAGTTGTGCGATTGACTGCTTCAACCTTGGTTTGTCAATTTATTACAGTACTGGAATTAAAAGATGAAGGGGATTAGATATAAGGAAAAAGCAAGTATTACAACTTAACTCTTACAGTTACAATAACAGACCAGTAGAGTTAATATTTTCATTTTTTTCAATTCTGCGACCAGTTATATTATAACTTAATAAAATACCTATTTATGCACTAAGTTACAGGATGTATAATTTAAAAAGTTTAACGGGCTTAGCAACGAGGAGGTAAAGATTTTTACTGTAATAGTGAGGGGCTGAAGATACCTGTATAGAGCAAAGCTAGCGGCGGCTTTGGCGATTACAAGAAGAGTACTAAGAATGATGAAGTAGATAAGGCTGTGCGGCTGTGACTTATATTCCCAAGTCGTTCCTCGTGAATTACTATATGACTTTATCTAGTTCGTTTGTAAATTGATATTCTGTGTTACCGTTGTACATTCTTCTGTCCATCTAGTTGCTTATAAATCGTGTTGCCTCACGTCCAGCTTCCATCCAAAAATTCTTCGCTAACGGGGTAGTCGATATATCCTACAGGAGTTTTCTTGGTATAAAAGCTATCCCGTTTGTAGGGACTAAGGGTGATCCCATTTTGAAGGCGAAATACCAAGTCGGGATTGGAAATAAAATATCTTCCAAATGCAACAGCAACATCCCACTTGGAATACAGGTTATCCACGGCTGAGAAGACGTTCTCCGCAGTATAGCCACCAGCAATGATAATGGGCGACCAATTGTCCCATTCCTCTAGCAGGTACTCGAGTGTGTTTTGTCTATAAGCCCTGTGTTGGCCAAGCTCGTCTTCCTTCTTGTGCAGCCAAGTCACAGGATCGCCGGTTGCTTCTACCAGATGAACATAGCCGAGGTTCAGGTTCAGCCTCTTGAACTCGCGCAACATGTATAGAAACTGAGCCTGCGGATCAGATGATGTCGCGCCTTGGAACGTCGCCCAAGGGCTAAGACGAATAGCCGTACGATCTGCTCCGACGGCAGCAGCAACGGCCTTGACAGCCTCGATGGCAAAACGTGCCCTGTTCTCAACTGAGCCACCCCATTTATCGGTTCTCTTATTGATAGATTCCCGAGTGAACTGGTCAATTAAGTAGCCGTGAGCGCCATGCAGCTCAACACCATCCGCCCCTGCGGCAATGGCTGTTTTCGCAGCTTGGACAAAACCGTCAATTTTGGCCCAGATCTCCTCCTCAGTAAGTTCCTCAGGCGTTATATCAGACCCCTCCATAGGACTCTCGCTGCTCGATGCATATTTAATGCCCTTGGAACGCGCAAATTGTGCGTCACCTGCGCGGCCTAGGCTCCAGATCTGCTGTATAAAATAGCTACCCCTGGCATGTACGGCGCTGATTATGCGCTTCCACTGAGCAATCTCCTTATCACTCCAAATACCAGGACCATTGGGATCGGTCTCATCGTCTTGAGATATTGCTGTTGCTTCGCTTATGATGAGCGTCCCAGGGACGGCCGCTCGGTCGGAGTAGTACTCGACTGCCATATCTAGAGGCACATGGTCATCGCTGTTGCGATATCGTGAAAGTGGTGCCATCACTATGCGATGAGGCAGCGTAATTCTGCCGACCTTGAGAGGCTGGAATATCTTGGATGTCGCCCGTATTTTCTGTGCTGGCATGGTTACGAAGTTTGGCGAAAATCTAGAATTGGCGAAGCTGTTGATAACTTGGATAGGGCTCTTCTGATAGTTGCTGAGGTAGATAATCCAGAAAGTTTAAGATGATCTGGGCCTTTTTGACGGGGCTGGTTGCTACAATATATATTACATTTATCTCTGCGATGTATGTTGTATCACTTCTCCTTGGGTTGCGCAACTTACCGGATGGGTATTCCAACTTAGATCTACTAAAGCCATGTGAAATATGTCATCACTGTGAATAATTGCAAATTTTGATACCATTTTGTACATAGGAACTTGAATACTGCCGAACATGTCGCAGTACCTCATACGATTGATTGATAATTCACAAACGGCAATGACTCGAGAAAATTTGGAGGCCGGCGACTTTAACCAGCTTTAGTTCTTCGGAGGATGGTTTGACGGTATTAGATTGTCTGCAGGTCAAATTGAAAGGTGCTTCTCACTTTTCCTTTGATAAATGGGACTTAGGAGCTTCGTACCCAAATTTTACTGACGTGATTTGCCACAGGAAGATTGTTAAACGATTTTCTTCACTAACTCGAGTTTGGTATCCTTTTGGGGTGGCACGTAGGGTGTGGAGTATCGGCACCCGCATGTCGGAGCCTGCATGTCGGAACCTGCATATGGGCTGCGGCATTAGCTCAAAGCCCTACGAGGAAAGTCCCAACGTAAAAGTAAAAGCCGCACTAATCAGCCATAGAAAGAAGACATTAGAACAAACTGGATAAGCAACTCGAATACTGCGGAGAGGTCGGGATGGTTTAGTGTGAAGCGATGATGACACTAGGAAGCCCACAATGAGCAATCTATAACCATTAGTGATGCCCGTGCATTGTCGGCATTTCTAAGCGAGGGGACAATTATGGAAAGCTCGGGCATCGGGTCCTTCGAGTCTGAGCTCGTCTGGGTCTAACTCAACAATCTCATTACAATCCCTGAGCTGACTTAATGGACGGAGCTATTTTAGAGCTGGCCAATCTCAGCCACCATTACTCCACAATACCATTTAGGAAAACGGTGGATCAGCAGTGCGGATGCAAAACTATTTGCGAAGGATGCCTGCAAAAGAAACAAAGTCCGGCAACATTTGCCCGGTCAAAGTTGACACGGAATTGACCCCTAATATTCGGAGACATTTAGCTCTACGTATACTCATCCACGGCAAAGATTCGAAACTTTCATTATAATCATCGGATTATGATAGAATGTTGTTAAGAAGTACTTAAAGGCTACTGTGTCATCGTCAAAGCTACTTAACTTTCCAACTATATTTTATTTTCTAAGTGGTCAAGCCTCATCCAGCTATTACTATGTCAATGTTTAAAAAAGTCATCCTCATTGGTGCCACGGGCTCCATAGGTAGCGTCGTTCTGGCTGCTCTGGAGAAGGAGCCCAGCTTCACCATTACCCTGATACAACGTGCCTCTTCCAAGGCTAAAATGCCTGTGCACTTCAAAACGATCACGGTCCCTGACTCCTACCCGACAGACGAGCTGATTCCTGCATTTGAAGGTCACGATGTTGTCATCAACTGCATGACCTCGTTCTCGGTGGCTGATCAGTTTCGCATTATTGACGCTGCTATCGCGGCCGGTATACGTCGCTATGTGCCTAGCGAGTATGGTCTCAACTACATGAGGCAAGATGCCCAAGCACTGAACCAAGTCTTTAATGACAAGGGTAAGATTCAAGAGTACCTCAGAGCCAAGGCTCAAGCAGGAGTTATTGAGTGGATGAGCATAGCGTGTGGCATGTGGATTCGCTGGTCTATGGCAAATGACTTCCTCGGCATGCACATTGGTGAGCGGCGATTTGTCTTTTGGGATGACGGCGAAGGATATTTCTCTTGTACTACCGAGGAGAACTCAGCTCAGGGCTTGGTTAAAGCTTTGCTTGTCGCTGGTACTGATCGCGATGTTTACAAGAATACTGTCATCTATCTGAGCGACTTTGCCATTACTCAAAAGCAGCTACTCGAAGCCATCGAGCGCATCCAAGGTGTCAAATACACAACGGAGAGCATCAATAGCTCCGACTTGATTGCGGAAAAGCAAGCTGCTGTGGCTGCTGGAGATATCAAGGCCACTTTTGCCCTTATAGAGACTGGATTTGTCACTGGACGTTATGGTGGCCACCTCGAGAAAGAGGGCGAGATCCAGAATGACAAGCTTCATTTGCCCAAAAACACGCTGGATGAGGTGGTCGAGGCTGCATTGAAAGCATACGGTACTATTTGAGGGGGGTTGAACAGAGTATACAACATATAGAGGATCTCTATGTAAACGTAACATTAGTCCCTCGGGGGATACCGGCGTTCAAATAAAGCATATTAGACCAAGGCTCAGCTGAATGACAAGTGAATGTAGATACATTGGCAATTCCATCAATGCGCTGAGAACCTCAATGGTGGACTATCGTCGATCCGTTATAGCTGGTGGTATTTTCTCATACAATATCCTTCTCGATACTATTTTTTGGGGAAGTCAATCATTCGAAAAGGACTTTGTTGAATGGGTTGCTAAGGTGAATGCTGAAAAATATCTGCTAACTATTACAACTGAGATTGTGTCTGCGCTATTTGGGGGTTTACAGTCTGAAGCGCTGTAAGAAACATCCATTACTAGTGAAGTTCAGGTTTTTATAGACCTGAGCCACAAATAGTGTAACTATAGATGCAAATATAAGACTCAAAATGTTCTCATTGTCAGAATGCAAAAGAGGAGTTATTTTCCACAAGGTTATTGAGGTCTATATCTCAACACTCAGGAGTATATCGTTAACCTGGGATCTCTCATGGAGAATCACAGAGCCTTTATACACCAAAACCTATCAGAAAGATTCCCGGAAAATCTCCTCATATTTTGGCATTATTTAAATAAATGGCAAAAGGACCTCACAATCAACTCAAAGTTGCAACTTAAGTTTTATCCTGTGATATCAGGACCGATGTTAATATTATACCTAGTGCACAGACGAATATGACGAGTGCAATTAGTGTCGATATTTAGTCAAAGCATCTTTTTCGGCACTTATTCGTGGTGTTAAACTAGGTTGAGAGACTTCTAAACGCAAATCAGAAAGCCCGGTGCTCAGTTTCTCTGTACATATCTTGTTAGATCCATTGTCAAACCCTTTATTAATACCCAATGTTCGAGGTATGTTTCCATATATTCACCTTCAAGTAAAATGCTCAAATACGGTTCAATTGTGCAAGACAAGCAATAATAAGGACCCGAATGATTGAAGCCCTTGTCCATAGGTACCTATTAATGATATAACATACACCTTTGGAAGTCCTATGGACACGATATTCGATCATGTAATTGTTAAGTAACAAACCCAGGAGAGCGTAGAAAACTTTCAGGCAGCTGAAACCCACTTGGAAACCTTCTAGGCGACAATCGAGTACTGAATACATGGATGACATAGCTGTAAAGCAACTTCTGTCGCCGTCGCGCGGCCGTTACA